CCCCGGGGCCGGGCTGCGTCCTGCAATGGGCTCGGCAACCCCAGACTCAAAGAGGAGGAGCACTGGGACCCCTGGGAGCTGATGGGTGCAGGGGAGGAGCCGGGATGGGCTCAGATTTCTTGGGGTCTCTGCAGGAGCAGAGCCCTGCGGGAATGAAGGCTCTGGGTTGAGAAGCAGGAACACATCCCTGTGGGACTGCCTCGGGTGTCCGTGGGGGCTGCAGAGGCCCTGGGGGTGCTGTGGGTGCAGGATGAGCAGGAGACTCTGCTGGGCTCTGTCTGGAGCTCTGGCAGCGCCCCAGCCCTGCTCCACCTGGCTCTGGGTCCACCCTGTCCCGGCTGTGTCCTGGGTGCAAAGGGGCCAGAGCTGTGCTGGGGTACAAGGCTTTATTCCATCGTCCCTGGGAGCCCCGTGCCCGTGGCAGCCCACACTGCCACTGTGTAAATGCCCCCAGTTTTAGTAGGATACAGAGAGTACAGGAGGAGTTGGAGGAAGGGGCTGTGCCCACCCAGTGTCCATGGGCTGAGCCAGCTGGGCCCTGCTCTGCCCTGCCTGAACCCACCTTTGGCCTCTGGGCTGGCGTCCATCACCCCAGGGCTGGTTTGGTCCCTCCAAGGTCTTGCTGTGACCACTGGGCTCACCCAGAGCTGGAATCCTGCAGGGATTGCCAGGGCTGGAGGTGTGAGGAAGTGGGGACTGCGCTGTCCATGAGGGCTGGAGAGGACAAAATCCACACGGGAAGAGGTGCTTGGTCAGCAGCCGTGCTGAGCTCCTGGTCCTCTGCAGCCTGGCTCGGGCACCACGTGCCCCAGTGCCACGTGCCAGGTGTGGTGCCAGGGCTGGGGACTGCTGCGGTGTCACGGTCCTGCCCTTTGCCCTCCCTGCACCCATCGCTGCTGCTGCCCCAGGCTTTCCTCTCCCAAACTGAAACTCCTTCACTCCCTTCCAGAGGCCGACACGGGACCTGCCCCATCCCCACAAGGTGTGCCCCAGGGGTGCCAGCCCTGTGTCCTGGGGTGCTTCCAGCCCCAGGTCCTGGCACCCACAGCCCTGCCCAAGGTAGCATCAGACTCATGGGTGTCACCCTGCCATGGGGACACTTTGTCTTGCGGTGGCAGATGTGGCCCTGGTGCCTTTCCTGCTGCAGGGAGCTGTTGGTAGGTGCTGTGCCGCCAGGGCTAGGAGGTCCCTCCTTGTGCATGTTCCCTGTAGGCCCTTGGAGACCCTTCCTGGCTGACGCTGGAGGGTGGCACAGAGCACAGCAGGGTCCTGCAGGCACCACCCCTGTGTCCTTCTTGGCTCATCCCTCACCACAAGGGACAACGCAGCCATAAGAACCCTGTGCCATCCCAGGCCATTGGCCGCTGTCCAGGGGCAGGTGGGAGCGGAGGGGGTGTCACAGGTCGAGCCGGAAGGCCCCGAAGTAACTGGCGGCTGTGTCACTGGAGTCGATGGCCAGGGAGGAGACTGAGACAAAGAGCTCGTCACCGGCCTTGAGCTCGAAGAGTCCCCCCTGGTAGAGCGCGTGGAGCCCGTAGTCAGCCTCGGGTGCCCAGCACTTGGTGCCCACGCCCTTGAGCAGCAGCACGGGCGGGCTGTGGGCCGGCTGCCACTGGATGCACTGCACCAGCTGCGGGCCCGAGTCGCGGCCGGCGCCGCGGTAGCGGAAGTAAATCTGCGCGTACACGTAGTACTTGCCCGGCTGCTCCACGCGCAGCCGCCCCGCCCGGTACGTCATGTTCTGCACGTGGGACACCAGGCTGCCGTGCCCCCAGTGCGTGATGGCGTGGCGGCACGACTGGGACAGGTTCCCGGAGCGCTGGGAGCGTCCTGCGGGAAGGGAGAGTCCTGAGGGGAGCGACCTGACACGGTCACATCAGGGGAGGGGGTGGCTCTGACTCCTTCCCACTCATCCAGCTCGGAGGGCTGGAGTTTGGTGGTCTTGCAGTGAACAGGAGTCACTCTCCCCATCAGCCGCCCAACCGTCCTGGTCCCCTGCCCTTTGATCTCTCCCATTCCCATCCTGGAGACCCAGCAGTGCCCAGAGAGGTTCCCCAACTCACCATCCTGAGCCAGGCTCTGTGGGCGGAGGGTGAGATGTGCTGAGGGTTTCCCAGCTGTTTTGGGAGGAAGTTGCCCCTCTGAGGTGTTGAAGTAGTTCTGCCAGGCCTCTGCAGGAAAGGGACAGATGCTGTAAGAACAGCGTGGGGCCACCTGGCCCCATGCCAGCAGGGCAGGGAATGCCCCACTGACCCACCAGAGCAAAAGGCTATTGAGGGATGGAAAAGTCTTGTCAATCATCAACCAACACATCTGTGAGTGCCACGGCCCTGCTTCCCCAGCCTCCGGACAAATGGACATGGCTGTCCCCCAGCCCATTCCCAGAACGTGTGCCTGTCATGGCAAGTGACAATCCTGGCTCTCCCCTCTCCTGCCCCAGCTTACAGCACCGGAGTTTGCCCCAGGAGTGACTGCCCCTGCCACCCCCTGCTGGCCTCCTGCGACCCCAGCTCCCATAGGTCACAGCTCCCCTGGATCACAACTCCCTGGATCCCAGCTCCCATAGATCACAGCTCCCTGGATCCCAGCTTCCCTGGATCACAGCTCTCCTGGTTCACAGCTCCCATAGATCACAGCTCCCTGGATCACAATTTCCATGGATCACAGCTCCCAGGGGTCAGGCTCTGGCCCAGGAGGGACTCACCCTTCACAGCGTTCCTGCGGATGATGTTCTCGGTCACCTGTGCCACAGAGAAGACAAAGTTCCCTGGTTAAAGGTAACACACGGGTTCCCCATGCCTGAGCTCCTACTCCAAGCCTCCATCACCTTCCCTGTCACGCTGTCTCTGAGCCCTGCCACCTCCTCCCAGTGAAGGGCTTGAGTCCCACTCCCACCTTGAACCATCCTGGCTATTCCCCCCTCCCACTGCTCTGCTGAGGCGGATGGAGAAACTGAGGCACGGGGACAACCAGGAGCTCCCCATCCGTCCCCGGTCCCGGGCTCACCGTGGCCACATAGGCTTTGATGGTGCTGGCCAGCTTGAGGCAGCCCTGGCTGCTGCTCAGCTTCTCCAGGCTGGAGCCCTCGGGCTGCTGATTGAGCGCCTGCAGACACCGCAGCTCCTCCGCGCTGCCCGGAGCCTGGGACTTCAGCTGGGATGGAAACAGAGCGTGATGACAAACGGGGACAGAGCAGCCGGGATCCTGCTGGGGTGTGAGCAGGGGGCAGCTGCCTTCAGCCCGGCTCCTGCAGCACCCGGGCGCT